ATTTTAAATGTATGCCTCAATGCTTTGGAGCTTCCGAGCAAGTGTTTATATGAACATGATGTCAAATATGAAGAGATTTGAGTTAAGTGGGCTGCAATCCAACTACTCCACAGCTACTGCCAAATTATTTGCTCAATGCTCCATCCAATCAACGTTGGCGCACAGCCGTATGTACTGCTGTTCAGTTTTTTTACGGTGTAAAGCCACAAATAAATCTCTGTAGGTCTTTCTCTGTCAAATATTCTCAAGGTTTAGGTGAAAATGATCCAATGTATGTACAGCTCTTCTGGCAACAGACTACGAAATGAATATCAGCTTTTTAGCGCATTGGTAAACCGAATACAACATCCGTCGGAGAGCGGTCAACAGAAAATGCATAAAAAAGTGACTAAAACCAATCTGAAGCTTCAATAGCACATAACGTTTACTCAAAACACCCTTTCAAATACGAAAAAATATTTTATGCCTTTCCAATTTTAAGACTTAGGTCACCAAATGTTTGTATCCATCGCTTAAATGGTTTATGAACACACATGTATGAGTCAGCTTTGGGCAACAATTTAGAAACCATGGTAGTCTTAATAGAACTTTGCCCACTCTCAAACATACTTCAAGTTTTTTGCCTATGGCCAAGTTCAATTACATTAGCACGCTAATATGCTAACGTGGATATTAGAAGAATCGCACAGGAAGAGGAGACGCATGTTAATAGCGGTTAATTATAACAGAACATCTATTTACCTAGTACAACTTTAGTTGGTATAACAATTGTGTAGTCAATGTTTTAACAAGAATCCTTGATATATACCTCATGGCTGTTTATTGACTGCCCACGAACCTCACTAGGCTTGATAACTGCATAAAGTTTACAGCGACCATCTAGCTTCCAAGCACTTACTGTCTTAATTCTATTAACCAATTTTGCGCCACGTAGGCTCTCTTGTAGCTTACGAGCCGAAAAGGAAGTTTGCTTGTTCTCGAAAGGGGACACTGCCTGGCTTACTTTCATAATTTGATGATAGAGTTCAAAAATGTTACTAATGAAAAGTATAAGATATAGTAGCCTTTGTTATACGTCTTCTAATTGTGTTTCGTTCAACTTCATGGAGGGTGAATCGAACAGTTTAGTGGATATCAACCCAGATTGAGCAGTGAAGTGTACATTAGTGTCTCACGTGTGCAAAGTGCAGACCGATATACTATAAACAACAATTTTTCTATATCAGCAACTTCAAAGGGTAATGGAAGCGCATACTCTTTGTGGTATCCGATGCCAGACATGGAAAGCGTGATTTTACTAAGCACATTTCTCAACATTTGTTCCAGCCTTAAGTAGTCCAGCAGGTTTCCAGAAATCGTTAACGTTGCAGGCAAACGTATATCAATATTGGATTACAACAACTAGCAGCTTTTTCAGTTAAAAATTTCGGAAACCTGTGGAACAGGAAGAATCTGTACTTAAAAAGTTTGGCAGGATGCGGTCTTTTGTGCTTCGAAATGAGGATACGTGTGTCGTAGGCATGCCTACGCAATGGTACGCTAACGCCAACCGTAATGAGAATGTATTAAAGCGTGTCACCCAAAGAATTTACGTGAGTGATTTAAGTTAGTACGTTCGGAATTCGTGTGACTGCTAGCACTTTATAAATTTGAATCTTTTTGCGAGGCCGTAAACAGTGTAACATGGCACAACCAGCCAAGAGTTTCGAAATGCCCTATTTTTAAGAACTTGACCCAGCGCGCTATTATTCACCCTCCGAGTACCTCTCTGAAGTTTCCAGCTTTGCATACCTAGCTAGGTCTGATACGTTCTTCATCAGCATCAAAAACACGTATACAACAGACACGCTGAAACTAAAACGATGGATTTCTAGTTATTTCAAAGAAGACGGTGCTTGCAGAGTTTCTATTATTGATATTCCTAGATTTCCTAAAATGGATAGTGCCTGTGTAACACCTCCAGAAAGTCCGTTATTAATAGTCTGCTAAAGGCTAAATTATGAGTATGAAGCCATGAAAAATAAGATAGAAGAAGAGTGTGATCAGACAAGAGTCCGTCGAATAGCATAAGCTCTGTACGAAGAACATTTACGTAAATTTTACTAAATTGATTCAAGAAGAGTGAATTGAGAAGAAAACATCCAGGCCAAGGTTTGGTGTCATTAAAATATCTTATTTGTTAACTTTAAGGATCAATGAAGAGCATCACACCTTTCTACTTGACTGAAAGGGCAAAAATCTTCAGAAGTGTTGTGTCGAAGTGCACTCATTGTTGTTGGTCTACTACTACCTACACCGTCAATCGATTATGAGTTCCTAAGATATAACGGGCTGAGTAGCCTGAAACAGTGTAAAACTGCAGACACTTTCTACTGAACGCACTCTAGTTTGCCTACTTAAAATCACAAATTAATTTCATTATGCTTAGCCAGTCAATTAAGTAAATTGTATTTCACAAATTAGTTGTTGTAAAAAGTGCTCATAAGGGAAGTGGTTGCAGCTTAATAACTGGAAGTCGTGCAAGTACTTGTAAGGAAAGTTTTCTGTAAATGGTGTTAATCACGTTTTCCTAATAGATTTTCTATCTTCAATGACAGTAACGACCCAACAACTGACATCGTTTGGTTTTCATATGGGGAAATGCTTATGGGGTAAGATACAGATATAATAACCCTCGATTAGTACAACTGTCTTTATGCTGGCTTTTAGGGGAGGTATAAATTTGGTGAATAGAGTCGTAGTGACAGTTAGTAGGGTTGACTCAGTAATGATAGCTATTGTTACCGCTTACACATAGGAATAGTTACCGCCCGTAGAATTTGACGCATGGCACCTGTAGCAAACGGATACGCTTAACTCTGTTTAACCGTTTGTAGTTCGCAGAGGGAAGTAACATAACCTTTCAGTTCAAAAGGAGCATTGACTTTAATTAGTTATGCCCAGTAACAGCCTTTTTCATTATTCTCATAATTCATGGAGCTTTTTGTCATTCTTGCCACTCGGATTTGTCATGCAGTCGGCCCAAACGAGAGAATATCTATGCCGAGAATGGTGTTCTATCCGGATAATATCTATGGTTTTTAACTTCTTACTATCATTTTTTCAGTTTTACCGAGGATACTTCGATCTTGCAAAAGATGCCAATGACTACAAAAACCTTGGAGGCGCCTGTGAAGCACTGGCGAAGTTGTTTCGCAAGTAAGTGTTTTACCAGGAGAAAGTCGTTACTGACAGTGTTCCCTATTTGTTTTTACGAATGAATTGCCATCGATGCATGGACTGCCGAAATGAATATCATTCTTATCCTTTAAAAGTTAAACTCCGCACCCTCTTGAGTAACTGAATGACATTTTAGACAAAACAACATGGACGACGCAATTAAATACTTGAAGATGTTTGCAGACATTTGCGAAGAGCACTGCGATTGGGTTCAACTCTGTCGTGCCTGTTACCTCCTTGGTAACGCTTATGATACCGTTGGTGACCATGCAGCAGCGCTAGAATGGATGAAGAAAGCGCACAAGATGCCTACTTATGTAAATGTAAGTTTTTCAAACAAGTATAA